AGGTTGGAGGCCATCCCTAGGAGGTTGGAGGCCATCGCTAAGAGGTTGGAGGCCATTGTTAGGAGGTTGGAGGAAATCTCTAGTAGGTTGGAGGCCATCGCTAGCCGCTAGTAGGCTGGAGGCCATCGCTCTTAGGTTGGAGGCCATCGCTACTAGGTTGGAGGCCATCGCTAGCCGCTAGTGGGTTGGAGGCCATCGCTAGGAGGTTGGAGGCCATCGCTAGCCGCTAGTAGTTTGGAGGCCATCGCTACGAGGTTGGAGGCCATCGCTAGGAGGTTGGAGGCCATCGCTAGCCGCTAGTAGTTTGGAGGCCATCACTACGAGGTTGGAGGCCATCGCTAGGAGGTTGGAGGCCACCGCTTCGAGCTTGGAGGCCATCGCTAGCCGCTATAGTAGTTTGGAGGCCATCGCTACCAGGTTGGAGGCCATCGCTAGGAGGCTGGAGGCCATCCCTACGAGGTTGGAGGCCATCGCTAGGAGGTTGGAGGCCATCGCTAGCCGCTGGTAGTTTGGAGGCCATCGCTACGAGGTTGGAGGCCATCGCTAGTAGTTTGGAGGCCACCGCTACGAGGTTGGAGGCCATCCCTAGGAGGTTGGAGGCCATCGCTAGGAGGTTGAAGGCCATCGCTAGGAGGTTGGAGGCCATCGCTAGCCACTAGCCGCTAGTAGGTTAGGCCATCGCTAGCCGCTAGTAGTTTGGAGGCCATCGCTACGAGGTTGGAGGCCATTGCTAGGAGGTTGGAGGCCATCGCTCGGAGGTTGGAGGCCATCACTAGGAGGTTGGAGGCCATCGCTAGCCGCTAGTAGTTTGGAGGCCATCGCTACGAGGTTGGAGGCCATCGCTAGGATGTTGGAGGCCATCACAAGGAGGTTGGAGGCCATCGCTAGGAGGTTGGAGGCCATCGCTAGCCGCTAGTAGTTTGGAGGCCATCGCTAGGAGGTTGGAGGCCATCGCTAGGAGGTTGGAGGCCATCACTAGGAGGTTGAAGGCAATCGCTAGGAGGTTGGAGGCCATCGCTAGGAGGTTGGAGGCCATTACTAGGAGGTTGGAGGCAATCACTAGGAGGTTGGAGGCAATCACTAGGAGGTGGGAGGCCATCGATAGGAGGTTGGAGTCCATCGCTAGGAGGTAGGAGGCAATCACTAAGGAGGTTGGAGGCCACTGCCAGTGGGTAAAGGAAAGGTGTAGACGGTCTAAGGGTCTCATGCGAACCTTCAGGCCTCCAGATTCCAAATGCGAACTCTTCGCTACACATGCGGGAAGAACCGTGGCCAATCGCCACGAGCCGGCGGTGCCGGCCTTTACCAACCTCTGTGATGGAAATGCTAGGCTGGACCCAGGTCCTCTTCAAGGCTTCCAAGCCTGCCATGTGTCTGTGGGAACGGAAGGAGGAAGGGCAAACGAAGACAGACATGGAGCAGCAAGAAGCTACTAGAACAAAGGGCATCCCTATTAGGAGCAAGAAGCTACTACAGTAGTAGCTCATGGCAGTACTACTAGTAGCACGAAGCTTTTAGTAACAAGTGAATCGCTATTCAGCCTCACCTGGGTTTTGAAGACTTTGGAGCCACGAGGGGCCTTTCGACAAACCCGCGTTCAGCCCCAATCTCTTGCTGATCTTTTCCACCGACATCCTCATGTGCAAATCTATCCGATATCGGAGCAACCAGGAGCAATTAAATTAGGAGCAACCTACTTTCACAGCTCCCCCAAATCAATCGTACAATGCAATAGTGCAATTCAATGGATCCAAGCTGCTGCTGGGAGGCGGCCATGAGATTTCCGAGATCTTGGTCGGAAATCTCTGGGCTGCAGGAGCCTCGGCCGAAACATCGACGAACAGCAGAGAACGACGTTCGTCTCTCCAACACATCCGGAGACGAACAGCGGCACGGCCGATGGCATCGGGGCACCATCCGAAAGCCCTGCCACAGCAGGCAGCCCAGAAGAGTCGACCAAGGAGGAGATCATCGCTGAGAGGTCAAACATCGGTTCCTTGGAGGTCAAACATCACTCCACTCGATCAATGAGTATGGAAAGTATGAAAATCAACGGGGGGGTGCTATATATATAGAGAGAGAGAGAGAGGGAGAGAGAGAGAGAGAGAGAAGGAACAGTGTACCAGAAAAGGGATGTGGAGAATGTGGAGTTACCGAAAAAGGAGGATGTCTTTGGGCCCCTTTCGTGAGGCCCCCCTTGAATAGGAACCCATATTAAAGGTGCCTATCTCAAGCACTCCACCTCTCTACCAGGCTTCACCTGGCGCCAGTCTGAGCCCAAGCTTCTGGGACTAGACCTCCATTCACACCGCTGTGTAGGTCTCTGTCACCTCCTTGAATCGCGACTTCAAGATCCACCACTCCGCGCATTCCGTAGCCTAGACTCACAGCCCACTCACCGGCCGCTTGCCCCCGCTTGGGGCGCAACCGCCATGCATATCAATGCGGCTATGAAATACTGTGCTGCTCTGACTCTAAGGCACAAACACAAGCATGGCCTTTCCTTCAGATCGAACATGCACATGACACGATTGAACCCAGTGACACGGCATTCAATTTGTCCATTGCCTATTCAACTGGCACATCAAAATATGACAGTGGAAGGCTCAAGCAAGGGCATTGAGTTCTTGGAAGGTGACCTTCCGTGTCTATGGCGACCAAATCCAACATGAATCTCATCATGCCATGCGGACCATGCGTCATCATCAATCCATGAAGAATTGTTGATGATGAGGCCAATAATGTCTCCTCTCAGCCACCCGTCGCTGCGAGCTTCTTGAAGCATTCGAATGGTGGTGCTTGGATCTCCACCTGCAAACCCATCCGATGTCTCTCGTGCAAAGACATCCGATGCCCTAAGGCTCAGGCTCGGCTAATGCCTAAGGCTCTTGCCCTCTTCATTGCCATCCACCAGGAAAAGCACATTCACAGGGCAATTATGCTCCTGCCGGTGGCCAAGCAAGCTTCACATGATTGATCATGATTGTGGCCCTATGGAAACACTTCAGACCAACCATGACTTGGACGCGTTCATGTGTCTTTTTGTTATGTTTGTTTCCCTCTTTTGGACCCTTGGACCTTTCTTTTACCTAGCGATGGCCTACTTACTAGCGTTCCTTAGACTCCTTTCCTATTTATGGTTCTTTTCCTACTGCACGATGGTCCTGAGGAGTTTCGTTCTCAAACCCCATGAGGCAGAACTCCGACGGGTCACCCTGTAGAAGCCGGCGGACCGCAAAAATCTGTGCCAGCAGAGGACCTGGCAAGCTCGTTTCAACACATCTTTCTGAGCTGTGCGGCATTTCTGAGGTTCTTCTGCGTAAAGGCAGTCCAGGTCGGAAGAAGAACAAATCACAGAGTGTTTCTATGCGCACGCTTGGCGGACTCGTTCAACCGCCAAGACGAAACCTACAAAATGAAGTAGGTAGGGCCAACCAAGCAATGTACTGTGATGGGACAGCTCCTGAATGTCACAAATAGGCGGTTCGGAATGCAGTTGCAACGCAAGGCCTGGTTCCAGAGTTCGATAGTTGGCGAAGAGTTGCGATCACGGCCCGGTTCGGTCCCGAGCGAAGAGTTGTGAGCAGGGTGTGAGCAGGGCTTGGCTCAGTCTGAAACCCGCACATGGACGCTTTGTTTAGTCGGTCATGTCTGTGCAAGTTTCATGTTTGGGTGCCTTTGTTGTCACTGACTCCTCTACCATAGAAGTAGCCATCCTTTGCGACCATCTTCCATGGATCTGTGCTCCATCCTTTCCCAGCAGCAACAACGTCATAGTGCGAGTACCTGCAGGTCTCGTAGTCACGTAAGCGACCCTGACCGGCCATGCTTCCTTGCCTGAACCAGGGCGCACATGATGACGAGGGGCTTTCTGCTATCCCATCCACAGCGAGCAATGACACCACCACCAAATATGCGAACCTCGGAAGCAGGGCGAGGTCGAAGGCACCACTGGACAGGCCGATTTCTTGCATGGCGAGGGTTAACAGAGTGCACGAAGATGAGTTCTTCCCCACGATCGCAGCACAACTGCACCCGCTAATGGGGCTGAACAGCCAACAATGACAGCAAAACACCCCTAGTAGCGTCCTTGCTCCTAGTAGTAAGGCCAGGAGCCCCTAATAGCGTCCAGGAACAGTGGCACCCAGCAGTTCCTCGAACTTCCCCGCCAACCACGATGATGCTTTCCGCATATCTTCGTTGTTTCGACCTCAACGCGTCAAGCAATGATTGCGCTTCACAAACAAACGGCTTTGAAGCAAAACACCCTGTTCTCACGCCAAACATGGCTGCATAAACATCCCCCTCCACTCAACTGCTCAAGTTGCTAGGCTTCTCGTTGATTTCACATCGTTTGCCGGTCTGGAAGCGTTGCGCGTCTTCTGTGCCACGCGGCTATCGCTTGAAATCGTCTGGAAGGTCACGAACTCCCCCAGCAAAGTCACCAAGCGTTGAAACTCCAACACATCCTGCACCGCAGCGGCGGCCACGCGAGGATGGGAAGAAGGGAAGAACAAATGGCACCATGTTGTGGACCCTGACACTCAGGGGGGGTTCGCCCTCACGTTCAAGGAGAGACCGGAAGAAAAAGAAACACACTACACTGGCACGGCTTGAAGAATTGGCCAAGGCTCTACCTATATGAAAGAGAGTCCCTCTATCGGGTCAGTCTGTTTGCTACATCACAAGGCCAGAAGGTTCCAGACGGTGAGCATGACACGGAATGACAACAAACTCTACAAGTTCAGAACAAGCAAATAGGAGACCATTGGGGCTATGTTGCCGCAGGCTGTAGGAGAGAGCGATGGCCTCCAACCTATGTCACTGTGCCGTTCTGTTGCTGCTGTTGCTGCTGCCGTGCTCGCTTTCGTAGCGTACAGGTTCCGGGAGTTTTGTCTTGGATGTACCCACGTTACATCACAAGCACGGCCATCACCCCCATGGATCACCGCACTCACTCCACCAACTTTCATATGAATCAGTTTGGCCACCAGTCAGGACTTGTTCAATATTGACATCAGCTACCACACCAGGATGTGGAAGCACCAAATCAGCGACATTGATATCACCAACATATCACTAGAACCGATGCAAATTTCACCAGCGCTCTACACTTCCTGCTTGCCAACCTCTTTGTCCTCCTGTTGTCCTCCTTCCACCTTGACAGACTGCGGTTTCGCTATGGCGTCTGATGAATCATGAGCGTAAAGGAACGTCTATTAGGTTGGAGGCCATCGTTCTTAGGCCAAATTGTCACTAAGCGGTGGTCGATTACAGCGACAAGCAATATCACAGCGTCATGAAGACAGAAACTCTAGAGGTATTGCGAAACAGCATGCCAGGGCCACTCCCACAACGAAATCGGCCCACATGGTGCAGCTGTTCAAAGGTACAAGCCTCTCAAAGCTGCACAAAGTGCAGCAACCGGCAAGTGATTGATTGATCGAGGGGCAGGTGAAGCTCACAACGAGGAAAGCCCAAGGATGCGGAAAAGGTCCCACACAATGATGTGGGAAAAAAGACCTTGAGCAGCTTTCTGGCATGTGGATCTAAAAAGAATAGCAAGAAGTATGACATTCCGAACTCAAGGCCTAGCAAGAAAAAGAGAAGTCTACAGTCTACAGGTCCAAAGAAAAAAAGAAGGGTCGAAAGGTCTAAAGAAAGAAAAATAGAAAAGAAAGGTCTGAGGGTCTAGCTTAACTCAAGAAAGAACATAAGAAAACAAACATATATTTTATGTAGCCTTCTTATTTCTTGTTCCATCATGTCCATCTCGCTCCTGTAGAAGGGTGGATGCATCTCTTCCAGAGTCTAATTCCTCGTCCCCCTTGAAAAAGGCAGGGGCCCACGAAACACAAGATCTGCCGGCCTCGTGCCCGCAATTTTCGTTTCGGCAGAAGTGACCACAGATTCGGCCCACGGGGGAGATATTGAGCTGCTTGCGTTTCGTGGCGGCCGTCACGTCCAAGTACGCCAGCTTGATCGCACCTTGCTTTCTTACCCGCCCCAAGTCCGGGAGCAGTCAACTAGCACAGAATCTCCATGGCTTAGCATGGTAGCAGCTTGCTACTTTCCTTTTGATTTTGATGCTGCCATGGAACCAGAGTGACAGCCGCCGCTCGTTACTCTCAAGCAGTAGTGGCTGGTGGAGGTGGCCGAACTTGAGGTCCTGTGAGGGGCAGCTGACTGGGCTTCGAAGTTCTTATGGTCAGCACCTACTGCTTCACGTGCATCTCTCCAGGCCGAGGTCGCCTCATCCCCAGCGCAGTCGTTGCGGCGCAGCATGTCATGCAAGTGCTTACTTCTCGAAGGAGGGAACAGTGCTCCGCATCCCAAACCCGCATCAATCCTGCCGCATCACCTCAGAGTGCTGGCGGAGTGCTCGTGCCATCCTCTCCAAAAGAAAACTCAACTGCCACCGCAAGGGGGAAAGAATCAAAGTTCAGGAAGGGAACAGGAAGAGAATGAGAATGAATGAATGCATGGAGGACAGCAGCATAACTAAGTCTTTCCTTCTATCGCACCTGAAATCACCAGAGGCGGCCCTTCACAAACACGTCCACCATCACCAAGAGTCGCTAAAGATAAAATCGCTGCACTACCACCTCCACCTGATGCAGCAGGACCGAGGACCGAACGGCTGAGGACCTGCGGCAGGCTGAGGGGCAGACCTGTGCATAGCACTGCTCTGCTGCCGTGTTGTACCGAGGCCGAATCCCAAACGCGAATACGGCCATAGGCATCCCCAGAAAAAATGGCCTCATTGAGCAAGGACGCTACTAGGGGCTCCTGGCCTTACTAGGAGCAAGAACGCTACTAGGAAAAGGGCACAACTGAGTGATGAGTTCTTCGTTAGGTGTGACCGTGCGTGCATCCAAAAAGTAACTTCCATGAATGCTGAACTCAGCCGTGCATCCTTTGCGATGGAACATGCTGCCAGAGCCAGTACGGCTCCACCATGGTTGAAGGAGCTGATGGCCTTCGAAGGCCGAAGGCACATCATGCGCTTCTTTCAGCATCAAATCGCTACGAACGGAGCAAGTGCCTTACTAGTAGTAACAAGAAGCTATTAGAAACAAGTGCATCGCTACTAGGAACAAGAAGCTACGAACGGGGCTCCTGGCCTGACTACTAGGAGCAAGGACGCTACTAGGAGCAGAATGCAGCCTGCTGCGCCTGCCTGGTGATTGGCCCAGAAGAAGATACGCCCATCCCCTCCGCCAGAGGCGACCACTCCAGAGCATGGCTCATAAGCGATGCAATGTACGAAGCCCATATGCCGGTGCTGGCAGGTCTGCAAAGGCTCCAGGAGAGTATGGTGGCCTCGCCAGTGAGCCCACGTTGCGAAAAGCCTCTCCACCATCTGTTCGGCCATTCAACACTACACGCGTTAACCTCTTCTATCAGAATTCTTCAGGCGCCCGGCACCCACAAGCACACACACACACAAAAAAGAAAAGAAAAACAGTAATATATGACTCCTGCGCACGCGTGCGCGTACGTCAAAATAGAAGGTCGATCGGACAGAAAAGAGGAAGTCTGGGAAAGTCTTGAGGTTTTTCAAACTGTGAGGGTTGAGTTCCAAGCCTCACAAAGTTTCACAACATGTAGCTTGAAACTCCAGGGCCAACAGAAAGACATTCCACTGCTTAGAAACGTCACTATAGATTTCAACGACGCCTGCCTATGCCTGCCTGCAAAACATCTTGGCTGTCTCAGCCAGGTACCCGAACAGCAACGTCTAGAAGAAGGATGCCTTCTCTCTCACACACACAGACCCCCGCCAGCCAAGGCACTAAACTTTGCTGCTCCATTTGGCGCATGGCATGATTTTTTGCTGGCAAGCTCTATGTTGAAAGTGTAATGCCTGCACCAAGGAACAAGTGGATATCACGCCAGCAGCACGGAAAAGCACCCAGGCCTGGTAGTTCTTGTTCGCGTCTTTGCTTGCATGAGCTTGTTCCAGCCATGCCACAAGTGCAAACAAAAGAAATTTGTGCTCTGAAAGCCAAGAAATACCTCAACTAGCCAGTGTCTGCCAAGGTGCAACATCGACATGTCTAAAACCTCCCTTTCTCTTTACTACTAGGCCACTAGGCTGATCCATTCAAACTGCAGCTGAGGGGACGTGCTCCAAAGTTCCAGCAATGCTTAGCAAATGTCCCTGGTTGGGAGCAAAGTGAAAGCCTTGGGCATCAGGGCGGGCCCACCGCGGCGAGGGTGCCGAGCCGAAGCATCAGGTGGTGCGCATGTCAGTCCCCGTGTGGTCGCGAACGGCTCGGAGGATCCCTGGGTCTCTGCGTCCGGGTGGCATAACAAACACGGGACGTTGACCTCCGTGGCCTCAAGCTCCTGCCAATGAAACGATCGGCCAATTGAAAAAGATCAGCACCAAGCTTTTCATGTCATCTGCCCATGTCAGCCCATGTCCTGAATGACTGCAGAGACATCCCATATCCGGAGCTCGTTGGTGGATGTGGAGAGCAAACTTGGCACTGAAGAGCCCACAGCGAGCAAATGAGACTCTATGAGGCGACCCAAGTCAAACACTAGAACCTAGGAAGCTCCACTCATGTGACCCATGTGTCTCCAACCTAAGGGGGATGGCCTCCAACCCAAGAGCGATGGCCTCTGCCATGTGACCCATCTTAGACCAAGGTGCAGGTCCATGGCCATGGGCTTTGCCGTTAACGCATCCAAAACCTCTGCTGGACCAACAAGCTTTGGTGGCCTCAATGAGCAGCACGCGCAAGAAGTAGAGCAAAACAATGCAAATCATCAAAATCACCAAAGCATCGCTACTAGGAGCAAGGACGCTACTAGCAGCTCCTTCTTTCCTACCAAGCGGCCCATCTGAGCCGTCCGACCGCATTCTCGTGATGGGCGACCGAGGAGTACTTACAGCTGGGCTTCCATACGGGCTCTCCTGAAACCGGAGACATCTGGAGCGGACCCTAGTAGCGATGGCCTCCAACCTACTAGGAATGGGTTGAGGTGACGGTCATGACCCCACAGTCAATTGTAAAAAGGCCAGGGCTCCGGTGGGGAATCATCACCCTGGGAAGAATTCGGAAAGCTGTCCTTGGGCACAAACACGACATCAACGCTGTTGGGCAATCAGATAATACTGTCATTTTCACAGATATGATGACGATGATACATGCGACACTTTATGTGCCACCTTGCCAAACACCCTGAACCGCCACCAAGAAGCACTAGCACGCTTCAAGAACAACAGTGCCAGTACTGGCCCGCTTGCTTGGCTATGCCGTCTCACTGCGCAAGCTTGACCTGCGCAAGCCATGTCCGTCATGTAAAGAAGACTTATTGGCTAGTGCCGCCATGGGTAAGAAGCAACAGGAGCTCTGCTCGGTGCCTTGATCTGCGTAGAAGAACCGCAAAGAGCCATCCATTGAACCAGCCACAAAAACCGATTCCGACAACGTCACCAGGCAGTTGACATCTCCCGATTCAGATGAGGAGTCTATTGACATCCAAACATCCTGGAACAACGGCGCTGATCTCTCAAAATGAGCCTTTACTAGGAATTATCAAGTGTTCCATCTACCACCAGTGGCTCGCAGGTCCTGACGGGCTGGCATCTCGTGCTCAATCCTCATCGCATGGACCGGTTACGTCGTTCCGCCCAGCAGACTGACACAAGTGCTGGTGAGGAACACTGAGTTGACCTCGTTTTGCGCCAGGAACTCCTTGGAACCCTTCTGCGCGGACTCAACACCTCAGAACCATGGCGTGGACACACGGGCTCGTGTGTTGACTAGCACGTGGCCCTGCCTCCTGAAAAGGCCCAAAGGGGAAAAGAATAAACAAAGAAAGAAAACTATTAGCGATGGCCTCCAACCTAATAGCATAAAAACGACGTAACTGAGTAGGCGCCCACGTATTAAGTGAGGGACTAAACATGCTCCTAGCTATTGATTTGGTTCCTAGATTTTTGGGGGAACTTGAGGGTCACCATGGATCTTCACCAAGGCGCCGGTCAAGGCGCTCAGACCCACAACAGGGCCACAGCGCAAGGCGAACATCAAGGTGTCAATTGTCTGGCCTCAGGGAAGGACCGTGTCGAAAAGGTCTTCAGAGGCATTCGGTAAACCACTGGTAGTTAAAAGAAAACCTTCATGTTAACAACTTATTCACTAAATGCTAGAGGGGCGAAAGACGCAAGGTCTCCAAGAGAGTTGAAAGCTAACAAAACCATGCGTCGTCCGCATTCTGAAGCGCTGAGGATCCAGCTCTCACCACGAGTTCGACCACAAAGCACAATGCTGTTGGGTGCGATTGGCATCCACTCTTCCCGAATCGGAGTCAACGGCTCACTTGACAGGATGGCTGTGCAGCATTTGATGTCGGCCTCAGCCGACTCCGCCATGCTGCCAACATCAACAACAAACAGTCAAGAAATGCACGGGACGCCGGCACTGAGCAGTCTACCCCCTTCTTCATTCGGAAGGTCTGGGGATCATCGGGATCTGCTAGCCAGCGGGATCCAACACCTCGGCGGAAGCAGTTGCCCGAGAGGAGGCTAGCTACCTCATCAAACCGTCTGCTCGCCACGCTTTAGCCGAGCTGCTAAGGTAAAGTGTGGCACCAAGTGCTTCAGTTGTCTCCGTGTCTCCCTCTGCTGGAGCTGTGCCATAGCGACATGCAACGATTCTCTGGCCATCCTCAGGACACAACTTGCAGAAACACCACACCAACCAAAGCACTTTCACATATTGCGTTTAATCCGCCAGCCCTGTAGAGAACCAATGACCGACTGACCAGTGATGCCAAAAATGTGATGCGGAATACTTCTCCATCAGCAGTTGTTACATATGAAATTCATTACATTACATTACATTACATTACAACATCACATTACATTGCATTACATTACATTACACTACATTGCATTGCATTGCATTATGCGTTGCATTGCAGTATGTTAAATCACATTCCATTACAACATCACATCACATTACATTGCATTACATTACTTTACATTACAATGCATTACATCCATGCATACATACGCACATACATACCTACATACCTACCTACGTACCTACACACCTACGCACATACATACATACATACATACATTCCATTCCATTACACTACACTACACTACATTACATTACATTACATTACATTGCATTACGACATCACATCACATCACAACATCACATTACATTACATTACATTGCATTGCAATATGCATTGCATTGCATTATGTTAAATCACATTACATTACAACATCACATCACACCACATTACATTGCATTACATTACATTGCATTACATTACTTCACATTACAATACATTCATTACATTACATCCATGCATACATACGTACATACATACATCATACCTACCTACGTACCTACGTGCCTACGTACATACATACATACATCCATCCATCCATCCATCTATGCATGCATGCATGTACATAACATTACATAACATTACATAACATTACATAACATTACATAACATTACATAGCATAACATAACATAACATAACATACATACATACATACATTACATACATACATTACATACATACATATATACACATACATATAGAGAAGGATAGATATATATATATATAAACATACACACGAGCGGCACAAAAATCTTGCATCCTGTCGGGTGGTCACCCCGAATTCACGGCTGTGGCGAAAGCCACATTCATGAACGCTGGCTGCTGAGACAGGCGCTGTAACCATGAGATTGAGCAGGGACTCCTGATGGGCAAAATAGGCCAGATTTGACATCACAGGATGCCGGACGAAAAAAGAATGAACATCCTAAAAACATCCTAAAAATTTGGAGTTGATAAGGTGCAAGGGTCAGCAAAATCTGCCGAAGCTCCGCTTAGAAATTAAAGTGTGCAGCAACGGGCCGCATGTTGTTGTATGTAATTTGTTTGTTTGCTTGCTTTTAGGGGAGCAAGGCTTTGCATGTTTCTCCATTGGCTAGCCGGGTAACCTTGACCCCCCACACCGCAGCAACACCGATACAAGAACCGCCGCCAACGCAGCTCCACAACACACGACACACATAAGCGACCTGACGGCTTTTGAAAAAGAGACGCCCACCACATCCTCACTGCCGAAAATGCGCAGCTGCCTCACAACCAAAAACAACCAGCACCTGTGAAAGGACACTGACCCACGTAAGCAAAATAAAGAAAAGGAAACAAAACATTAAGGCACCACCGCAGCGCCGGCAAGATCAACGTGCCCAGCGCCAGTGAGGGCTCATGTCACGACAGGGAAGTAGGGTAGAGTTTGTCGCTCTTTTCGTCAAAACGGTTCCAGGACGTAAAGCCTACCACACCACATCCCCACCAGCCACCGAGCCACGCCGCTAAAAATCGTGCCGCAAGACCGACGAAACCAGCATCGGCCGCTGCGCTGCCAGTCCTCTGGCCCAAACTCTGCAGCTGCTTGCGTCAAACGGAGGACTGTCCTCTTGGAACGGGACCAAACGAGGCCTAACAGCTGAATGAACAACTGCTAAAGGCTGAATGAACAGCTCTGAACAGCTGAATGCTGGATTCAGAGCTCTTCACAACACCAGTTTCAACTGCTCGATGCTGAACTGAACCCACCCTCTGAAAATATTCGTCCGTTCCCGCTCATCGTCCTGGACAAAGCGCCACAAAGCGAGTCCGCGGTTCGCTCAGCCATGGCATCCTCATCGCTGGTCACCCCCAGCTCTGTCAGGAAAATCCCGAATGCGACCTGAGCTTGCATGTGTGCACCACTCCTTGCATCCCTCCTGGCATCGCTATTGTGAACAACATGACGTGCCATATGGCTCCCCACCTAGCTGGATCCTGTCACTTTGGACCGTGAATGCCACGACGAATTTGAACCCCATGCGGTGAGAAGAACGGCCGTTTCCCGCATGGTGCACTTCTGTCAAGTATCAACCGAGTCGATGCAGGCGTGCTCCAATGTGACACCAAAAGCATACCTCAAGCTGCACTGACATGTGCCTCCAGTAAGCAGAAAGTGAATGACCAAGAAAGAATCTCCATATCACTCGCACTACTATGAACTATGTGGGGGTGTTGGTGTAGTGGCCGGCTTGAATAATTGGTTTCACGTGAAGTAGGGCTCTGATTTGAGGAGACAAGTGGTTGACACACTGGCATAGACCCCCGCATATGATGGAATCAAACGCGAATTATGGCCCGCTATTTCAACAGCTCTAGCACCCCGCAACAGCAGCACACAGCACCTCAGCACTGTGAAAGCACCTCCACTGCACCCTGAGCAGTTTGCACAGCACCCACCTCACCCTACGTTAGACACTTTGGACAAAGACCCCCCTCGCTATGTTACATGTTGACACTCCAATGCTACGGCCTCCATTTAACAGAGAAGAAGGTTGGTTGAACACCTTCAACAGGGTGAACCTTGCCGCCACTTGCCGCCACGTTTCTCATTTAAATTCGCCAATAGCTGTCTTCGAATCTGAGCGAAATTGCCAACCAGGCCATTGTGCGCAAACAGAAAGCCTTAGACTCAGACAATCCCCTCAACCTCGTGACTTGCAATTGTAAATGATGGCAAGATCGCGTGCCGAAGAAAAGAACCTGAGAAAAAACTTTGCACTCCAACCAGGTGAGCGGCGCCCAGCTTTGAATGGATGGCATGCAGATTCGTTCACCGATGAGGACCTTAATCCACGAAGGCCACCCCACCCTGACCGAGCGGAGGAAGTATCACTGAGCACGGGGCGGTCCTGCAGCCCGGATATGAGCAAAAATCAATGGCGAGCGCACCTCCACACAGGTGACTCGTGGAGGTGATCTTGGGCCGTGGCAATCACATCAGGAGCAAAGGTTGGCTCTACAATCGCTGATGTGTCCACGTTGTAAGTAAAAAACAATGTAGGAACTGCAAACCGGTGAAAATGTGCAAGTGCGGGAAAAAATATTCGCAGGGGCAGGACGTTTTGAAGGACTGTCGCTGGCATTGCCCCACTGGACTGGCGCAGTTGCAAACACCAACACAACCGGTGCGGGCACATTAAAGCTCACAGTTGGAGGAGGCTCATGTGTAGACCGTCAGAGCTGAGTAGGCACAGTGCAGGATATGTGGGGGAGCGGTTTCTTGTGGCAACGGACATTTTCAATGTGACGTTTGGGGATGTGAAAAGGCATTCATTCCTCGTTAAGTTGCGAGGAACATCTCCAACACAAACAGCGTCGTTTCCAATGGAATTTCTTGCTTGTATTGCTATGAAATGTTTTTGCTGTAGCCACTACTTGGACATGCGTGGCTCCACAACAGTAGAACAGCAATCCTAAAAAGGAGAGACGACATGTTGAGTTCATGTTTGGCCTGCCCCGCTGCTGCTGGTACAATGATTGTTTGTTGACGGTTGGCCGGTCATTGCAAATGGACATTCCCATTGCGTCTGTGTCTTGCTTTTCCCTTCAGCACTGGCAGGGTTCGCACATCATGCCATCAGGTTCCTTACCTTACACGTCTGCCCACCACACATCATGTCACAACGATCAACTCATCCCAACCACCTGACCAATCTCATCACACCTTGGTTCGGACTCACCTCGTATCTGGCCAGATGGGTCGGCCACAGTTATCGCATGTTTAACCGCCGAACAACGGCACCTCATCGGACAAGTTCCGAAGATTCGGATCATTCCATGCCTCAAATGGAAGCAACACAAACACTGCGCGCGGAAATTCCATCACAGAAAAGGTAGGATGCACAGCACTGAAGCAGCCAGAGTTACTGGTTTCAAAGAAGTGAAAACACAAGGAAGTGGGGCTTGCTGTGCATACCAGCCCACGCCAAAGCCATCGGCGTTCCTTGCAACACAAAAATTTCGTTGCATCAGTGATATGACATGCCTACTCGCGAAACATTGTCGGACTCTTGGCTCGTTCGGGGGGGAACTTAATCCATTCAAGTTTCAAGCACGGCTGCTGGTACGCCATGCCTCGGGATTCGCAAATCAAAAGCTGGCGCGGCTAAACAAAACACATATTGAACAACAGCATTAAACCCAGGAACTTGGTGACACTCCTTGTGGCAGCGCTCGCCGCTCCCGAGCTGCATAGCTCTGGTGAACTAAGGACATTCGCGGCCGCAGCAAAATGTCGGCCAGTAGGACCTTACATAATTGAGTGGGCAACGGTGGGTGGGAAAAAGTAATGTCAAGGTCTCAAGGCAAGGCACCGCCTCATCAGATATGAGGGCGCACATCCGGCACATGGCGGGCACTGAAATTCAAATTCCATCTACACAATCTTCGAAACCTCTGAACCTAAGCCTTCGGATCAAAATCTTGGGTGGCATCAGACCGACAACCATGTGGCAAACAGGAAATATACCCCACAAAACAAGAATGGAAACGTGCAAATTCGTCATTGTGTTTGACGTTTTTTCCAGGAACCTTGCAAACACGGCGCAAGTGTTATAAAGCAGACACCCAAAATTCCATCGGTCGAAAATGGCTGACAAATTTGTGCCATTGCTGACAATGAAGCTAGCGTTCACTGAATGCAGTTCATGCTTGGACACCTTCCATGTCCATTTTGCATAGCAGCATCATTCCGATGCATCCTTTCGGGTCAAATAGGGCCCTTGAGTCTAGCCAGGCACGACACTCGCAGGTTCGCCCGCGACAGATCCAGGTCCGTTGATTCCGACGTGTTCTTGGAGTTGGACCTCATGTGCTTTGTGGTTTGGTTGTTCTACTTGCGCTACCACGAGATTGGTAGCGGAGCCTGCGGTGATCCTCTCTCCTGGCTCTGACGGCACGATCCTTTTTGATTGACCTGACCTATTGCATCTTCTGAAAAGATAAGCATACGCTCATCTCAAAGATCGTGTTCGGCGGGGCAAATGTCTGATGAGAGAGGCAAAGGAGGCAAGGGAGCTCAAAGAATGGCTGTGCGTCGACAGAGAACTCGGGATGAAGATGATGCTGGCTATCCTAACGGAGGAAATGAACCGCGAGGCGCACAAGCTCAAGCCCCTTTTGCTCCACAAGTTCGCGGCCTAGATGGCGGCTTGGCAAAAGCATGTCCCAATATGGAAGGACTCACCCAGAAGACGTACAGGTCTTTTCGTCGCCGCCTCGAGCTGTTTGAACGTCAATGCCATCCAAGAAGTTTCGATGCCGCAGTGGAAGGTGCATTGCTCATGATCTCACGCCTCAACAATCTGGGGTGGGAAGCTACTGAATCCATCGACTACACCGCCTTGGAAAGCAGTGCACAGCCCTTCAAGCCCATTTACAAGATCCTTGATGACATCTACCAGTACCAAGAGCAGATTGAAGTCCCTGCATGCACGATGTGAAGAGTTCTTCGGCGAGTTCCTACTTGATTAGGCACAAAACCATGATGGCCAAGATGAAAGAAGTCAAGATCACGATCCCTTCACCTCTCGCTGGTTGGCACCTTCTCACCAGGGCAGCGGTGCCAAAGTGGACGCATGTGCAGGTGAAGGCCTTATGTCAAAGTGAATTGGAATATGATCATGTTCAAAAGGCCTTCATCAAGATGTTCGGTGGCGACCATCGTCCAAATGTGAAAGACATCAAACCTGGTGGAAAAGCTGCCAAGGACGATGGTTTCTTCAAAGAAGAGTATGAAGTCACCTATGAGGATGAAGAGGCCTATGAAGCCTACACCTATGAGAACTATGATTGGGGCTATGAGGAGGAAGCCTACGAGGCTGATGAGTATGAAGAAGAAGACCCCGAGATTGAAGAAGCTGTTGACCATGTCGATGAGGCCTACATCAACTACCTCGAAAGTCGCCGACGAATGCGTAAGCCTGCCCTCTCAAGAGGATTTTTCCCTGTAGTTGCACTACCTCCTGATGAAGGGAAAGCCGGAGTAAAGGTGGTTCTGGAGGTGGCACGGGCCGTTCGTTGTTCAGGCTGATAGGCGGGGGGTACAGTGCACGTTGGCCGCTTGGGCCTGTCAAGGTTCCGTGGAGAGCCCGTTGTGTTCTCGTCGGCCCGTCAGGCCCGTTAAGCCCTGTTGACGGCTGTCACTCGCGCAGCGCTTCCTCTACCAAAAGGTTTAAACTGGGTAGCCCCAATGTCGCAAGGATCGCGCCCTCAACCCAAGTGTTTCTTTGTGCGTATTTGGGGTGCGCTCCACACAGGCAGTCGGCCCCCCAGCCGGGCACATGGAAACATGGTTCTAAGGAAGTGCGCTCCCGAGACTCCGGCTCCTGGCCAAGTCCAAAGCGCGGCAAGCCCCCGCCCTCCTGCAACCAGCCATCCAAACCGCCCTTTTCTCCCCCCAGCACAAGGTCGACAACAACCCCCGCTCCATCAGCCAACTTCTCGCGGAATCCCCGCTGACACCCCCCACCTCCAGCCGCCTGCCCCCGTAACCGTTCCCACGGGGCCTGTGGCTTGGATTTGGCCTCTTTTCGCCCGGACGTTGCCCGGCTCACCAACAGCGTGGTTTCTTGCTCCCTGACTTTCAGCGCGAGAAAAGCTTGGGAGAAGGAAAAAAAGGCGGTTCCCTCCACCACTTCGCGGGGTGACCTCAACATGATGTACGGTCTATGTTTACGCTCCGTCGCTGCTTTTACACCCGCAGGGTTCTAGGTACAAACAATGGAGCTTGAGGTGAAACGCCTGCAAGGCGATCGCTAAGTTCGAAGGGGAAGGAGCGAAGGGGAGAGCCATATGAAAACAAACGAGCCGAATATTTTATTGCTGCTGGCAGGTTTGTGGCCGACAAAGACACCATGTCTATGCATTGGACAACGCTCTGGAAGGGCGTTTCTTTTCCAGACATCCGTCGCACCAGAATGCACCATATATATAATTAATCTGGAAATGTGCCTGCCTTTCTTTTTGGGTCGTCTGCCACCCAAACCCCTCATGTGGTTGAAAGGTCGAACCATTCCCTTGTGCGGATTGTTTTGGCATATTAAAACGTTCAAAAAGCATTGGACCGATTTTTTGCTTTATGGTGCAGTTGAAATACACGAGGACACTTGTATTTAAGTTAAGTGTTGAAACATTTTTCGTACTGGCTTTTGTCGAGCCACGAGCCCCCCAAAAACAGCAATTTTTCTTTTTTTGGGGGGGAACGAACTGATGATGGCCCCTTTGAAATCGTTTGTTGTAGAGAAAGTCGACATTTTCGTGGTAGCGCAAGTAGAACAACCAAACCACAAAGCACATGAGGTCCGCAAGAACACGTCGGAATCAACGGACCTGGATCTTTCTGTCGCGGGCGAACCTGCGAGTGTCGTGCCTGGCTAGACTCAAAAGCCCTATTTGACACTCCTATTTGACCCGAAAGGATGCGTCGGAATGATGCTGCTATGCAAAAGGGACATGGAAGGTGTCCAAACATGAACTGCACTCAGTGAACGCTAGTTTCATTGTCACCGGTGGAGAATTTTTAATTTCGAAAAACAGTCAAAAGTTGGCCCTTCAGTTTGCCCACTCAGTTCATCTTCTAGCGGATGTGTGGGTAGAACCTCATTGTGGAATTCAAAAGCACCGTGCTCATGCGGTATTGCTTCCACAAACCTGTGTTGACCAAGATTGGGGTCAAACGTGAGTGGTGTTTGGCAAATCTTGTCATGCACTTCGTTCCAGCTCAGCCGCGTCACCAGGCTCTCCACATAGGTGGACTCATCTCTTTCTTTTCGCGTCAAGAGCACATGTTGTCCAGCATCATACACAAAACGCAAGCACCTCTTGAACAGGCCAACGCGCCAATGATGGCTCTCAAAGTTCGATGCTCTTTCTCATCCAAGGGAGCGTCAGGATTGGCCTTTCTGGTCTTCTCGAGCGTGTGCAAAGCTATTTGGGACCTCCTCCTTGGTTTCATCAAATTTCACGTCATTTGGGCTGTTGATGCCTTCACCTGCACCGATGAAATCATCCACGTGCAAACCCAGGTAGCCATCCACAATGAGGGCTTCGTTGTCCTTGTTGTAGAAGATCTGAAGAGGAGGATCATCTTTCGTGGCGGCTCTTGTGCTAAGGTATATGCACCGATCAAGTGGGTGATGGATCATCAAAAGCTCTTCGGTCAGGTAGTGGTCAGCGGTCTGGTACCATTGTCTTGGTGCACTGACATCTCCAAAAGCCGGTTTGGTGGCTTTCAACACTTGATGATCTCGAAGAGGCCTTTGTTGCGAGCCTTTTCCATCATTGTTGCGAGCCTTTTCTTCATGTCGGAAGAGGGTTGGATGAAGATGCGGGCCTCCTTGTCTATGGGGTCACTCTGCATGAAGGCGGACTTTACGTCGGCACTGAACAGCTTCATTTGCAACTGACATGTCCATTGCATGATCAGCATGCGACCCACTCTGGACAGGGTTAGACTTTCCTTATCCAGTTCACTTTCCAGGACATCACGATGGCGCAAGCCTTGGATGATGACTCTGCAGTTTGCAACCTTGCCTTCCTTGGTGGGCTTCCATCTTTGAAGCATGCGTGCCGGCACAAGTTCACCTTCTTGAGTTTCGACCGACCCACGGCACGCCAGGCTTGGTTGTCGATCCAAACCTGCCGGGCCTTGTCCTTGGCCTCGCTGAAGGCTTGTTTGTCTTCAGCGGACAGATACTTCTCATTGATGGTGTCTGCAATCAGCTCCTCATCGACAGACTTCATGTACGAGAGGAAGCGTGGGTCATTAAGCTCAACCTGCGGCATGCCGTCTACCTTTCGTGCCAAGTTGTATGACTTCAGGGCTGCTTCCTTTGGGGGAGGACTTCGAGATCTTTCTCGTCTCTCCTGTGTTGGATCCCTTGGGAGTTCATCATTCTTGGTGTGTTTCTGCAGCGGCGGCGGTTCTGCAGCTGCCGATGTTTGTATCTGCTGCTGCTGCGGTGTGCTAGGTTCGTGGCTGCCGCTGTTTGTTTCTGCTTCTGCTGCCGCTTCATCTTTCTCCCTGGGTTCAGTTTCATCCGTCATGACTTCCGGTTGGCTTTCACCAGGCTCTTCGTCCGTGTGGGGCTCCTCCATCTCTGCGTCCATAGGTAGCACCTGGTCCGGAGAGGGAAAAATTGGAGAGGTGTCAGACGAACTGGGTGCCCCAAGGCTCAAAAAGCGAACAGGCCCACGCGAAGAGCTTGCAGCACTTGTTGTTGCAAGGGACGAGCAGCAATGGTCTCAGGCAGCCCGAACCAAGCTTGCACCATGGGCCAACCATACACAGGTCACACAACCAGCACTGGGAGAAGGCTCAAGCATAGAAACAATTGCGGGGCCCTTCCAACGTTGCACTTGAAGTTTTTCATCAGTGGTCCTCCACTAATAAGCACATTGGCCAACTTCAA